ATAAATAGGGATGATAGGCGCAATTTTCAGCCAATTCCAGTGCAAGACAAAACACAATTGGTTGGGAAGAAGGGAGGCAAAAATTAATTAGAAGGGACTAAAATCAACGCCATTTACACCAAACTAACAGACAGCTGGATTATTAAACGGGGATTTTTAACAAAGTTGGGGAAGTAGCGAAGTTTTAATAAAGATGCACTGTTATTTCAGAGCAATAAATTTTGGATAAATATTTTCCTTGTCGAAAACTGGGAATGTCAGCGGTAAGTATAGTTGATACAGATTTGTCTAAAATAGGTCAGGGCCTCGTCTGATTGACTGCTTATGACGAGCCGCAAAATCGGGACTCTGAGCGCGCATCAGCAGCGATCGCTTATGCCTTAAACCAACATCCACCTGAAAACCATAAATTTGTATATATGTATATAAAAAAAAGCTACTTTACGTGATTCGTTGACTGTGTGCAGTTTCGTCATAGCGAAATCTTCACGCTGCGCCGAAGATAACGCTTCATCGGTTGCCTTGGTCGTGGCGGCATTACCCAGTGAAAAGCCTGGTGCTGTTCCTGGCTTCGTTTTCGTGCTTTTCTAAATTCTTCCGGACAGAATTTGTTAGGTGCAGTGCACTTTCATCGCAATTTGTATGATTCTTCAGCTCGCCTACCACAGAACCTCATTTGATCCTTCGTTGTGTGTCTCGTGCGTAGAAGACGTAGTAAGAGTCACCTACTTCGGAGTTGCAAGAAAAGCTATTAGTTGGATTAAATCGCTGACGAGGAGCAAGAAAGCGATTAAAAGCAGCAGGTCAAAGGTAAGCAATGAATACATGCTATTCTCACATGGATTGTTTGATCGTTGTCCTCATCGTCAGTTTCCACCTTGACTGAGTGATGAATTATACCATTATCCCTCGTACTGGACAAAAACGACAGTCGCGGGCTAGAGCCTTTTGGATGAATTGCAACAACTGGAGAACTTGCTGTTGAATTACTCAGATCTGGCACAATCTGGTAAGCATTCTCCGGTTTCAGGCCAAGATCCTGAACAGTTAAAGGACTCAATAAAACGTCTTGATGTGACTGTTTGAAGCGGAAATGATTTTCATGCGTTTTTGCACCTGTACAACACAAAAACTGATTTCGTGGATGGGTTACCTGTGTATGTGTGCGCGCGTATATTTCGATCTCCGGTCTGGGAAAGTTATGAAACTAAAATTTGAGCATTTTGATCTACCTTTGTGGAGAGGCTCCACAACCGTGAAATAAATGCTCACGCCGTTTGATTTTCACATACGAATATGTTAAAAATATTTTGGCAGGAGAGTTCCAGCTTTTCCGGTCCCCGATTTAGTGTATTTTCCCGCCAAAAAATTTCACAGGGCTATAATTGGGAGCCGTGCATACCAGGAGGCTGGGTTTAAATTCCTTAAGATGAACATGGATTTGGGACATCCTCTCAAAATTTCAGCCTTCCCGCTTTCCTGGTTCCCGAATTAGCCACTTTTCCGCTAAAAACTTACACGGGGCCGTACGTGAGAGCCATGCACATCTGGGGGCTGAATTTGAAATCTTTGAGTTCTCAGTGCACAGGGGACATAACTGCAAAGTTTCGGCCTCTCAGCTTTTCGGGTTCCCGAGTTAACAATTTGTCCGCCAGAAATTTTTACGGGACCGCACGTGAGTAACACGCGTAGCGGAGGGTTAAATTTAAAACTTTTAAGTTGTACGTTGACTGGGAACATTTTCTGAAAATTTCAGCCTTCCAGTTTCCCTGGTTCTCGAGTTAGCCATTTTCCCGCCAAAAGTTTCACGTGACCGCACGCAAGTCCCGGGCATGCGTGGCGGTTAGTGCTGCGGTCCTGGGGTGGCACTTGGCCGGAGAACTCGCTGGCAAAGTCTTGGCCCCGGAATTTGCATGATTGCCGAGTTAAAATTTAGACAGACAGACAGACAGACACACACACGAACATATATACATACATACGCACACCAGAGGTCGTCGCAATATTTTTGCTCGCTGTAGCAGCGCTATAGCGCTCCACAGCAAAAACGCATGTTGTGTATGCGTGTATGTATGTGTATCTGTCTGAGTATTTCAGCTCGGCAACCAAGCAAGCTTCGGCGCTAAAATTTTGCCAGTGGATTTCCCGGCCAACTGCCACCCCGGGACAATGGTACCAACCCTCATGCACGTTTAAGCCCCGCGTACGAGCGCGCAGTTTTGGCGGGAAAATTGCTAACCCGAGAACCAGAAAAACTGGGGGGCTGAATCTTGACAGGATATCCCATTTCACGTAAAAATTAAAGATTTCAAACTCAGTTCCCAGATATGCATGGTTCACACGTGCAGACCCGTGAAAATTTGTGGCAGGAAAGTTGCTAGCTCGGAAACCAAAGGAGCTGAATGGCTGAAATTTTGAGGAGTCCTCTTTCCATGTATAACATATATATTTCAAATTCTGCGCCTAGTTATGCGTGGTTCTTACGTATGGACACTCAAAGGTTTTAATGGGAAATTATTCACTGAACAAGTAGTTCAAAGAACGACCGTTCGACAAAAGTTGTTCACTATCATTTGTGCAAAATTGCGATGGTTTATGCTAGTGAACGCACTAAGCAAATGTAAAGCAAGAACCATTCATATAGTTAAACGACCTGATTACTTCAAGTTTAGTGCACTATCAGCCTGGTGCGTTCCAGCCTAGAGTTTTTATTGCGACTTGATCACAGGTCGAGTGGAGTGTTATTTTCTGGTAACTGCATTGTAT